ATGTCATGGGGGGAGTGGTTGCGCAGAGGTTAGAAAAGATGGGCCTGTGATCGAAAAGTTGCCGGTACAACTCCCCAGACTGACAACATCAAAATGTGGGTGGAAAAAGTGAAACACCTGCCTCCACTTTTATTTGCCCCACTCTGGGCCCTTGAGCAAGGCCCTTAACTCCCACCATCTGCTCCCCCAGGCACCCTAGATGGCAGCTCTCTGCTCCACACAGGGCTCAACTTGGACCCGAACAAACATTTTGCGATGTGTTGCTGCCAACACATTTTGGATGGTGTAGAGATAGGGCAGCTAACTTGGGACCAGAAAATCGCGGTTCAACTTCCCACGATACCCAAATTTCATGGTGTCCCTGAGCAAGACACTCAATCCCTAGTTGCTCGCCGGGCACCTACTTAGCTGCCCACTGCTCTACCTAGGGACAGCACGGTGGCACAGTTGGTAGAGCTGAGCTGCCACCCCTCAACGAGCAGGTCGCCCTGGTTCAAAACTCGGCCCAAAACCTTTCTAGATGGAGTTTGTTTGTTTCTCTCCACCTCTTGCACAGTGATAGCTGGACATGGGCACCAGTGACCCCTGTGACTCAAAAAGGAAGAAGCAGGTAAAGATATTGGATGGATGGATGCTCCACCAGAGTCTATCTCACCTGTGATGGGTTAAATGCGGTGAACTAATTTTGCCATTGTATGGGAACATATAATGACGACAACACAAAGCACTTATCTATATATAAAATTCAAAATGAGCTTTTTACCAAATCAAAAGGTATAAATTCTTAGTTTCAACATTTGATAAATGTTATATGTCCTATTAAGAGATTTGCAAATAAACACATTCAGTTTGTCTTTGCATTTTACATAACAACCCAACTTTTTCAGAACTGTACAAGTTGGCTTTGGTCATTCCTTTAGCTCTGATCTGATGTGATGTTAACAAATATGCTGGGAAAAGCCATATTCAGCAACATTGTCTAGATGCAACTGCATACTTGTCTCCACCAAGGGACCACCCACACAAATGACATCCACAGTCATGAAGATTAATGGAAGTACATACTTGTTTACATGCCAGCATCATAAAACGGCAACATCTTGAGTTGATTCTCAAATCTCTTTAAATGGTTTGCTCTGACATTTAATAAAAAAAGAGAAAAATCCAAAGGATGGATCACAAGAGACCTATAACAAGTTTTACATTTTTGTTGGTTTGAATTGTTTGGAAACACAACAATGAATACATTCTGCCTTGTTAGTTTAAATGTTTTATTCCGTGTCTAAACCATACACAAATAAGTAACTATGCTTTTGTTCTTCCTTCTGGGAGAGCAAAAACACACAAAGAAATGCTCACATTTATGTGAATCTATCACAAATTGCCAATTGAGATGCATTAACATGAACATGTAGACACCAGGTGATCTCCACTTCAGATAATATTAATATTAAAAGTAAAATATGTGCTAATATTTGCAAACATTGCTTTCCATTGAATCCTTGCTCATACTGAAAAAACACTTGGTTTTTAATGATGATTTTAACACAGTATTCTTGTAACTTTTAAACAAAGCAGGTCTGGGGAAAGTATAGCTGATTACGGTATTATTTTGTTAATAACATTAACTTTTGATTAGACACGTTGTTAAATTTTATTCAAGATTCACCGTTAAATATGGGCAGAAACTCATGTCGTCAGAAACTGAAATTTGAATTGCTCAGACTGAATCTGTATTCACGTAATCTTCGTGTAGCTAATTTATGCCACTCGTATTTCCGTTACAAATCATTGTTTAAGATGATGTGCGACGCATTAGACCTGACACCCAGCCTGGGCTGAATGAGAAAAACCCTGCAAGATGCAGAATAAATTATTTCCATGGTGAAACAGCGCCGCTCAGTGGTGAAGCTGCATATCATTTTAACCATGACGTAAATATGTCTATGATTTTAACGGGAATACGAGTGGCGCAAATAAGCAACATGAAAATCGGCAGAGATAGAGCACATACATTTCTAAGTGAATTAAAACTGTTCTTATTCATAAACGGAATTATACTAGTAGATTTTCCTTAATCTAGCATATTCAACGGCGATCTGTGCGACCCGGACGTATTCCTTTTAGCGCATGCGCAAATGAGCTACACTACGGCTCGGCTTAAATTACAGATTGGGGAGTGACATGCACGCCACTGCTCCAGCTCAAAATACGCTATAAAGTAAGTTATTTTTCTTCTTTGGTGTTTTATGGTGGACTGCATCCACTCTGTTGCATTACCGCCCCCTTGAGGCTGAACCCCATGCCTACATTTCCATAAAGGAAGTTTTACTGACGTGAAACTAAATCTGTCTATCTGCGTTCGATTACTCCGTGGCTTATACAAGGACCCGGATGTGCGACATAAAAAAAAAAAAAAGAAGAAGAATTTTGCAATTGAAATTGAATTATAGAACTGAAAATGAAAGTAGTCCAACTGAATTTTCAACACAACGAAATACAGTTTCTTAACATTATATTCAGTTTCAGTTTCGTGAAATTCATTTTCAAACCAAGGGGTTTAATGTCAAATAACGCGAATACAGATTCAGTCTGAGCAATTCGAATTCAGTTTCTGATGGCACAAGTTTCTGCCCATAAAATAGCTTCAGCGTGATAAAGAACAGCAAGGGTACTGAGGAAAAGACGGGGTGAGGTGTGAATTTTAACACTCCACATATTGGTGCTGCTAAGCGTTCTTTCACACATTGGTCAAATCAATCACTCCTTTCCTCCACTATAGTAACAGTGATTGAAGGCAGTTTGTGCATGGTGAAGGAAAATTAAAGATGCAGATTTATTTGGATTTGATGTCGCCTCTTTGATGAAAGAAACATTTTAGAGTCGGAGCCCAATTTTTCTTGACCTTTTCTCGGCCTCCCTTTCTGTCCTTGTTTTTTTTTTTTTTCATGCCATTGTTTGGCTCTTTACTTATTTCCAGGATATTATCCTTTACTGCCTCTTGCCTCACTCACTTGCTTGAGCTTCTTCCCACCCCTCCTGCACCCTTGGGCTGTGGTTGGAGAACAAGGTAGCGGTAGCCCGAAAGGCTAAGCGAATCCACAGAAAAACAGGATTAAATGAATTTATGCTCTCCCAGTCAGGACAGAAGAGGTGGAGGGGAGAATAAAGCTAACATGATTTCAGCCCTCCTCACCTCTCTGTGACTCCAGCACAAGTATTCTACCCTTGGGCTGACCTCCACTGCCAGACAGCCGTTCTTCCAAAATGGGGCCCCTTTCTCCTTCTCCTCTAACAACTTCTGCTTCCCCTTTTCCCCTCGCAACAACTCCAAGGCCTCTCCAGTTCAGAACATGAAATGGAAACCAGAGCAGAGAAAGGCTCGAGTAGACAGGTCGTCCTGCACACCCTTCATGTGTGTGTGTATCTGGACCTGCTAAATGTGAATTTCCAAAAAGCCCTTTTGTCATCCAACATTTTCCCCTCTCCAAAACATTTTATTAATCCATGGCTGGAGGAAAAAAAAGCCACGGTACACTAAAACAATTTTTCTGTGGTGTCAGAATGAAATAAATTACAGCCTTTTGAAACGACAAAAAACATGCTCATGCAATTTTTTATTTTTTTTTTTGCACTGGAGGGTGGACATGCGGTTTCTCTTGCTCCAGCTACGAGTCTCCGTGTCTCCACTGAACACAAACCATTTCCTGTCTCCACGTCAATCAGATGACGGAATCAACAAAGCTGTGTTTAAATCAGTTGTTGGATTTTTTTTTAATAGACAACAAAGTCCTCATTGAGTTGTTCTGATGCTTGTTTTTATTAAAATGATCTGACCTTCATTTGCGGTGTAAGAATTTAGCGAACGGCTTTGCATTATTTATGTGCCTTTGAATGGTCTGTATATTAAAAGAGCTGGCTGTTTGTCATTGAACACATCATTGAACACATCTCTTTGATATATAAAGTGGAAGAAGTCCCTGAACCTTCCCTTGCTGCTCTGTAAAGCATTACACAGATCTAAGGTTCCTTTATATCTCATTCACCTAGTTGAAACCATAACTAATGATTAAATACACACTCAGTCAAGTGCATCTGAATCATCTTATACTCTTGCATCTATTCTGAACTTCTGAGTGTCTCCTTGGCTCGCAACTTGAAGTCATGAAATGTAGCGGTTCTAATATTCTTCTACAAAATGCTCCTTTAAGAAGCTCATAAACCATCAGTTCTTGCTGATTCCTAGCACATAAAGCCCATCGATTTAACTAATTATTAGGCTTGCAACAGACATTAGCATGCAGCACTATTTAATTAAGGTTGACTGTTATACCAAACATAATACATTAAATTAGACATTGTAATGGTTGCAGTATAAGTGCTGCAGTTGCAGTATAAGTACTGTATTGTTAAAATGTATGTAAATGACTTTCAGAGCACAACAGCCTTTTAAGCTCTTGCTTTTGGGGCTAGAAAATCACATTAACAAAGAAGCTTTTTCTGCACAACCAGCCAACCCAACACCCATCGATCCCATTCAAGGTTCAAGGAGATTTTATTGTTGTTTGCATCACATGTGGTACATGAGGTGGAACGAAACTGTGCACTCGAGGTCCCAGTTACACCCAAAAATAGCAAGAAACAGTATACAAGGATCTAAGACACGTCTTAACTCCCCTCATCTTGATTTGACTAATTTGCTATTAAATTGAGATTGTGTTCTGAAAAGGGTAAAGAGAGAGGAAACTATTGGAAAAAAGTTGTTTTAGGAGACTTTTTGGCCATTTTCAGAGTTCTCCTTTGTACTTTATTTGTTCATGTGGAGATTTTTCCCATCTATTGGTGCTTTATGGGTATTTCAGCATTTTTTTGTTGATACAGTAGTCCCTCATTTATTGCGGGGATCTGTATCCTAAAGAACCGCGATAAGTGAAAAACCCTGAAGTAGGAATAGTAGTACAAGTAGTAAGTAGTAGTTTATTTTATTATATATTTATATATATATATATATATATATATATATATGTTTGTGTGTGTGTGTTTTAAACCCTTCCCGCACTCTTGCAATATTCTAAACAATGTTTCTAAACTCTAAATGCTCTAAAAGACCCAGAATGTCATGATTTCAGCTCCCCTGCCTCCTCTGCTCTTTGCCGCCTGCAAGCGCTCTTGGCCACGCCCACTTCTCCACTCTGCACAGTGAACAGCTGATCAGCTGCAGCAGGAAGTTTATCCTGCAGTGTGTGTTGCACAAATGTGCAGCAGGTGCTAAATAATTTAATATAATTTATTTTAAATCAAAAATCCATGCCGATCGTGCGGCTCATTCATCAGTCATCCAATCTTGTGTCATGTCCAATCTCATTTTGAAAAACCGCGATAGAGCGAGTCCGCAAAGTAGCGAGGGACTACTGTATATTTGTTTATCATCTGGACATTTTGATATATTTTTTTTAGCAATTGGATAAAATCATATCGTTTCTAAGATCCCATAGTAGTATAGTCAGGGCCTTAGTGGAAGTGAAGATTTGACTTATGATTCTCAGGGATTTTAGTCGGTTTGTTTCATACATAATGAGTTATTAATTAGAGCTGGGCTGTTGATATATTTTGTGAGACTGAACTAAACCATGACTTTGCAGTTTCGCAGCTAAAATAGTCTCTACAATCACTTTTTTTTCCACATACATGTGCTTTTTATCATTGGCTGATATTGTTTAATAAACAGCAGTTAGTGAACGGAATCAGTTTTGTTACATGCAGCCGTTCAGGAGGAGCGCCAGCGAGCCAAGGAAAAATATGAGAACGAGGTGGAGTCCACCAGCTGCGCCAACGAGGACATGCCCGTGGAGAAGATCCTGGAAGCTGAGGACGCGGTGGAGCCCAAAACTGAGACCTACATCGAGAGCAACCTCGGTGCGCCGTCCAACTCGGTGAGATTTCTTTAAAAACATATTCTGATCTGTGTTTAATTCTAACTTTGTGTGCCTCCCAGAAGTACTGGCACATCGTGAAATATTTGTATAGATTTACTTGGAGCAGGTGAAAGACTTTACCTCTGCAGCAGACAAACTGCTTTTTTATTCTACTGAAGTACTAGCATCATTACTGAGCTGATCTTTCTAACAAAACATCACTATTATGAGTTACCGTAATTTCCAGACTATTGAGCGCACCTGAATATAAGCTGAATAAATAAAAACTATTTTAAAAGTACATAAATAGCCGTAGGTGTCCACATTGTAACATGAGATATTTACACAGAAATACTGATTAAACTTTTAATTAAATATGTACCGGTAACATACACAAATACATATAGTATTTTTTTTTCTGACCAGTGCCTGTAACATGGCTGGTTAAAAACATAAATAAATACAGTAGCCTACCAGGAAAAGTCATTGATCGGTTCATCTTCCTCCTGTGCACTAAAACCACTAAAGTCGTCTTCTTCAGTGTCAGACTGAACAGCCTCAGAAAGAGTTCATCACACACGTCCTGTGTCTTTCATTGTCGCTCTCGACGTCACTTTCCTCTCGAGGCAAATTCACAATTTGATTTAAAATTCACACTTCTTCCGAGTGGCTGCAAATACTTTGTTGTGCACAACGAAGGGGGAATCTCCTGCAGGGAGAGGGAGAGGAGGAGGGAACAGTGGACCAATGAAGCTTGGTTTCACTGTGACCTGTTCGGTAATTTCATTGGTCAGTTTTTATAACCTTTATTTATGCTGCTCAGTGTTTCCCCTAGATAACTTGCCATGGCAGGGTGCTCATGTCCGTGATTTTTCCAGATGGAGACAAGTCCTGAGCTGCGCAGCTCGCTGTTTATACCGACCGTTTTACAGTTTTGGTGGGGAGGGGGAGAAGGCCTCCACATACCACTCCGCGGACGTCCACGTTTACTCGAGGCGAGCTCAACATGGACTCGAAGTGGACGTCCGCAAGCCAAGTCCGCGTAAAGATCGATTTTACTCTGTCGCACAATAAACTGCCTGGTGACGGACTGTTTGTATGAGACACCGATGTATTAAATTCCCCTTCTTCATCCCTCAGAGACACATCTGAGCAGTGCGCTCTTTGTACCGACAGTTTTTGGGGTGGGAGGGAGGCTGCCTTTAGCTTTTTAGCTAGCGCACCTGTATTGCGAGCCGCTAGCTTAGCGTTACGTCACTGCCGACAGGTGGTTGGGGAATTGGGAGTGTGCGCTGTTCGGTAGATTGGGCGCTTGCTTCTGTTGACGGGGCTGGACGCCTCGAACACTGCAGGTAGTCTGATTGAGTCACGAGGACACCCCCCAAGAGAGACTTGTATAGGGCGTCTGGGTGTGACGAGGCTAAATGTTTTGGCGGCATGAAGCCCGTTAGCCCGTCAAAAAAAAAAACATAAATTAGCCGCAGCATTGTATAAGCTGCTGTGTTCAAAGCGTGTGGAAAAAGTAGCGGCTTATCGTCTGGAAATTATGGTACTTTAACTATCTCTAACTTTCTGCTGCAAACCATCTGCTGACTGTTATTGATAGTTGCATTCAAAGAGTTGTATAAAAGACCCATTTTAGAATTCAAACCTTGTAGGTTTTTCTATTTTTCATAGGTTTGTCATGACGTTACAGCTTTGAGTATGAGTCAGATAAAAATTACAAACATATCTGAGAGTAGTTCTAATCCCCTTTTACTTTTGTATTGTGTGCAAAAAGTACAAACTTAGATGGTGATTTAGCTTTGTCTGCATATCTGCTTGTTTTTTTTTCTGGCGTCCCGTCAGTCAAACAGGCTGTCTGCAGGTTGTTGCTGATGATGAGTTATGAGTTAAAGCCTGTCCTCGCTTTGTTTTACTTTTTGGTCTTTGGAGAGTGTCTGCCTTTACTCTGAAATGTTGGTTCAGCCGTTCACCTCGTTTTAACTCGGCTGTGAATTTTCATCTTTACTCCACGCATCAGCTGGGGTGTCTTTGATACAGAGGAGACTAAAGAGTGATGAATAATGCAACAGGCAGACTGTTCCTGAAAGCATCCCACAAAGCCACAGCTTTTTCTGGAATTCTGTTGCAACACGGGAAGCAGAGGAGCAGCGCAACAGCCTACCAAAGGGCAGAACTGGGGAGGACGAGGAGGAGGGGTGGGAGCTTCTGGGATTCGTCTGCTTCAGTACAGAGGGAAATGTCTTGTGAATTAAAGGTAGAAAAGTAGGGGCAGTTACGGGAATAAATCAGAGCTATTTTGGGTGGAAGCTAAAAATGTAGGAGCGGAGTGTTGACAAACGGTAAAAGAGTTGAGTGTAGATTCATGGGCAGCTAAGAAACATTAATATGTGGCGTGTGTTTGGGCTTGTGGAGGGGGGTTTCTAGATGTTTGCTGTTTACCCAACACTAAACTTTAGAATGGAAGAAGACAACTTTAGCACACTGGTCTTGATTGGAAGTTGTATTTATTTCTATCACCTTTTGAGCGGAAACCTACTGAGATAATTTAATTAATGCATGAAGCAATCTAAGGATGTTCCAATATAAAATAGCTTTCCGAGTGAATATTTACACTTTATGTCGATGATTCTGACAGATATTGTAGTGTAAAATTTTACATTTATTAGTTTAGATCTGAGGATCTGTCGGGGGTGGGGGTGGGGGTTATTATCAGAAGAAATCAAAAAGATCAGTTTGCTGAAAGAAGCAGAAATGAGCACAAAAAAGTGGAAATTATCTGATAAAAGCTGAAAAGTATCTATAAACTTAAAGTAAACTTCTTCTATTTACTTTTCATTTTATATGATTGTCTAGTGTTGTCTGTACATCGTCTGTGGTCTTTGTTTAAAACAGGTCTCTCTTGTAAATGAGTCCTCGAGGCTGAATGAGACTAACCTGTATAAATAAAGGCTGAACGAATGAATGAAAAAAAGGCAGAAAGAAGCTAAAATTACAAGAAGGAAGTGGAGAGTTTTTGCTGAATTAGGCTAAAAAAAATTGAAATGGGTGTAAAAATTTGGAATTAGTTGAAAAAAGCTAAAATTAGCATACAACAGCTAAATTGTAACTGAAATAACTGAAACTAGAAAAATAAGCTGAAAGGAGCATAACAAGCTGAAATTAGCAGAAATACGTTAACTACTATGAAACTAGCTTAAATGACCATGATAAACTGTAATTTATCACAAAACAGCTTAAAATAGCTTAAAATTCTAAAAATGTACCTGAAAAGGTACAAAAAACTTAAATCACAAGAAGGAAGCATAAAGAGCATGTTTGCCCAATTAGGCTGTAAAAAGTAAAAATGAGCACAAAAGAGTGGAAATTATCTGAAAAAAAGCTGAAATTAGCACAAAAAACAGTTAAAAAGTAGCTAAAAAAACAGAAAGAAGCTTAAATTACCAGAAGGAAGTGAAGAGATGGAGATTTTTTTCTAAAATTAGCATAAAACAGCTAAATAGTAGCTGAATTAACTGAAACTAAAAGAAATAAGCTGAAAACACAGCTGAAATTAGCTGAATTATTATTAATATTTTTAATTTGCACAAAAAAGCTGAAAGAAGCAGAACCGGACCAAAATGTGAAAGGAGAAGTAAAATAGTTTACTTAAATAATTGGGGTGGTTGGTGAGGTGGCCGAAGATTAATCTATGGTGGCTAAGGCCACCAATGGCCACCCCCTGGGTCTGCCATCACACCTGGTTGTGGATAAAATCGTTCCCTCCACTCCCGATGATCTGTCACTGTGCTACCTTGGACTCTAACTTTAACTCCTTCCCTCATAAATATCTTGCATCAAACACATTTTGACTTGCATTCCCTGCTCAATTCCAGTCCAGAAAAACACTTATATGGAAAACTACGAGCATTCACTGTTTAAATCCCTCATCGACAGGGGACATTGACATACCCCTCATGGTGAGGCCCATTTCAGACAAGTAGAAATTGTTTTTGGCTTTAATTCGCTAATACCAGAAGAGTAATACCCTCTGATGAAGGGTGCCAAATTTGAGGAGAAAGACTTAGATCCATAAGGGACCTGTCAGAACAGGTTCATACTACAGAGAACAACTTGATTCCGGTTGCTCTAAATTGGGGGAGCTGACCCTTTCATGAAGTAGAGCCTGCGATTTTGGCACAGTATCAGCATTCAATCTACCCTTACAACAAGGACTGTCCTTCTCTCTGAATACTGTCCCCACGCAAGCCCCCTCCACACCCCTGCTGGTGTCCATTGAGAGGCGCTGCCCCATGCTATAATTAATCACTGGGCCCAGGGTCATGAGTGTACACCATGAATGGGCCACTGCTACTGTCTAATGGCTGAGGTCGGGCCAAACTGAATAAAAGTGTGTTTATCTCATGGTGACCTAGAACAGGAGTTAAACAGGCGTTAGTAATATGTCTTCAGCCACAGAGGAGAGCTCCTTTCCTCAGGACGAGAGAGAAAGGGAGTGGATCATCCGCCATAAATCTTTTATTTTTTTGTGGTTATTTGAATGTTGTTAAAAACTTTCAGATCCGTTCATTAACTTGAGGCCAAAAGCATTGCTGCTGTTTTGATAGATATTAGTTGGTGAGTCACTCATATTGGAAGATAGTTTATTTCTACAGTCCAAAAAAAAAAAAGTGGGACACTTGAGTAATTTATTTTCCAACTGATTTGTATGGCTACCCAATTTTCTCTCTCTTGTCACGCTAGCATAGTCTGGTTCAAGCAGAATAATGAAAAATTGAGTGGCGAATCTTTCTCCTCCCCTTCACAACTGATGAAAATTTCATAAGACAGTATGCAAGCTTGCCATTTCTCTAAGTAGCTGGAATGATGGTGATGAAGCACACTTGTGCTGTAAAATCTTTGATTTGCTTTGAATGAAGATGGCTACTTTTGAAGCAGACATTGTATACGAAATTTAAAAAAAAAACTTGAATTTGACATTCTTGCTCTCGGTCCTCTTCACGTATCTTAACTTTCCAGGTAAAGCAAATGCATTTTCATGCATTCGGGGTAACGCTAGGAGACTGCAGCTCACAGCAGACTCCTCCGTTGTAGCCCGATAACGTCCCAGTCTGTGACCTGAGCAGTAAGCACAGTAATGTGATGCTCGCGATTGTCTCAGGAAGGAAAGTGTAAGCTCCTCTCCCGTGTCATCTCCGGCGACAGAAGCAAAATAAACGAGGTCAGTGTAAACACAGCTAAAATAGCCATTCAACATTCATGAGACTCGACATGTTTAACGAGGATCCAGGGATTCTTTTTCTTATGAGGACAGTGGTGGTGGTGGGGGCGTCTTGACAGTGGTACACATTGGAGCCCCCTTTTGTTTTTCTGTTTGTGCCTGGCTTGCCCTTTGGAATGAATGATCTCAATCTACTTGCATCTCCGACAGGAAACGCCGCTCAAGAAAACTGTCGCGCTGAGCTGCGCCGTCCACTGTTTCCCACGGAGATCAGATGTTGAAATATTCATAAGATGTCTGTTGTCTCTTTTTGTCCCCGGGGGGTGGGGGGACAACTTTCAGTTTCCAAAGCAGTGACAGCGTTGTGTCTGGTTTAAATTTTATATTTCAGAAAGACATCTGTAATACGTTGCCGTCATTGTGACTTTCACACTATAGGGAAGGAATGAGGAGAGGATTGGCCAGCGTATTATGAACAAAGAGTGTAGAGCTGTTTCCTCCTTCATCTTGAACTAATCTTCTCCAGAGATTTGCACTTGATGCCAGGATCTTCCAAGCTTTTAGCATCGATCTGTGGGATTTGATTTAGGAAGTCGTGGAGAAGTTACTTACTTTTTTGTGTGTCAAAGTGCGAGTTCATACAAAGAAACATCATTTAAGTATGTTTACTTGACTTGTTTTTATGCAGATACGTGTGTGCACAGAGCTTGTTTACATATATGCATATCAAGGATACGTATCAAGGGATCGCAGTAAATGACTTGTCAAAGACTGACAGCATTGTCTGGGATTTTTTACCCCTCCTCCCCTGTCCAGATGGAGTTGCATTTTAGTCAGGTAGTCATACTGTATGCACAGATCACATTAGTATTCTGCAGCTATTCCCTTTGGATCAAAGAACGATACTTCTGAATTTAATGCGAAAGGACAGTTCAGGAGAAGCAGCACTTGTTTGAGTTGGTGCAAACCAAACCCATCTTCTCCAAAAAAAGAAAGTTTTTTCACGGCATTGAGTATTTTCTGAACGCCATAATGCCAGATTGTTGATGTTCTCCCAGTATAAAGTGCATTTGTATTCTGATTAAAGACAAAGGTGTTCATACATATTGCTTGTTATCATGGCTGGCAGTCAGGGGTTCTTACATTGTTTCTTTTTTATGGGACAGTAGGTGTTGAGACTTTGGTGAATTGGACTCTGGTTTTTTACACTTTTAAAACGTGGTATCCATGTTTTGAAGTGTGAAAAGAGGTTCTAATGCTTAAAAGTACTTGTTGCAAAGTTTTCCTGAACTATATCAAATGGTGGAGATAAGTTTTTTCTAGTAGTTTTCCAATGCGCTTCTTAAATGCGAGTCTGCACTCAGAGTAAAGAAATGCTGCTGAATCTGATGAAACTCGGGTCACATGACTGACGTACGTTTGGCTGATATGGCTCTCCAGTTTAATGTTTGACCTATTTTCAATCATTTTGACTTTTTTGTGGGTAAACTAATGCACATCTGATTGCCATCTGGTCACATTTTCCTTTTCTTATTTTTTATGTACGTACGATGTGAGACAATACAGTTTGGGGATTTTTCTTTTGATGCCTTTATGACTTTGTCAAGCATACTTTTAATAATATGATGATCTGACTTTCTTAGACAAACAAAAGTCTTAAAAAGATATGAGCATTAAAAATGTAAGAAAATACAGGTTTAAGTTTCTTGGTTCCAGTGGATTTGCAGTTATGTTGAGCACCAAGAAACTAGCTCTTCTTCACTTCCAGAGGAATAAAATGAAAATCTATCCACCTTATTCCTAGCCCCCATGGTGCCTTGCATGAATTATGGGCATGACTTCTGGCACAGACTGGAACCAACGTTTGTTTATGTGCTAACAGTACAAGTTAATGTGGTTTCTCCGAGCTTTGTGGATTTAATTGAAGCATTTAGGAACACCACCTGTCAGAGCTCAAACAGGACAATAAAATCATACCGCTACCTGTTGAGGACGACCTGAAGAAGTGGCTGCAGATTACTACTTGCATTTTTAGCTACTTCATTGACTCGGTTCTTCCATCGGTGAGGCAATGTACCACCTGAAAAGCTGAGGTATATTAGTATCTACAGTAATAAGGTCGGTCACGTTTTGTTAAAAGAGGTGGGACACAATCTTATTGATCTTAAAGCAGACACAGAGTCCAGCCAAAGCCTTAAAGTCCTCCATCAACGAACTTGGGTTAATTGCAGAGAAAATCATAATACTGAAGACAAACAAATATTATAATGCTGTTCGCTCCATACCCTTGGAATCATATCTGATGTTCTCGTCACTGTTTTCAATCCTTCTGAGAATCCGGAGTCTCTTCTCTGGTGGTTTATTATAATCCAGACACAAATTAGGATGCAGGTTTTCCTCTGTTGGCCATTTGTCAACAAAGTGAAATGAGCACACATACATGGTCTTGAGTTTAGATTTTTCAACCACATTCTTCTTAATTCCTCATCTGTAGGTAGGTGATGTAAACTATACCTCTTTTCACAGGAACACTCTTTTTTGTTTGTTTGTTTTGGGTCAGTGTTCCAAACACTGTTGTTGTATCCACTGATTTAGTTTGGTCTTGTTGTTCCTGCAGCCACGAACACAACAGGTACCTGAACTCAGCACGGCCATTTTAGTAAACCTTATGGTTGTTAAATAAATGCGAACAAAACAAAAACAGCATTTTATCTGCTAAACCGATGCAAATTACTTTCAAATAAGCCGCAGTCCGTGCTCCGCTACCATGGCTAACCAATGCTTACTGCTACTTCCTGTATGACAGGAAGTTGTACACACAATCATTTATAGAGTAGAACCCCCAGGAATAAGGTGGATTGGCAAGGCTGTTAAAAGAAACAAGAGACTTTTTTTTCTAGTAAAAAATGTTTAGGCAACATATTTTGTTGCATAAAACAATGTGAAAATAAAAGAGAAATAGTTTCACCATAAATTTATTTATTTTAAATGTCACAGAATATTTAATTTAAGCCTAACTGAGAGTAAATATAAGTCCTGCACATTTTACAATGCCCCCTGGTGTGGCAGTGGAGTTCCCTTCAAGCTTCTCGGCACTTGTACAGCAGTAAAGTGTCTGCAGGGCCTTTCGAGGACCTCTTGAGCGCCACTTGCTGTCCAAGAGTGTTTTGGCTAAAAGGTCACCAAAGAAAGAGTTCACTCAGCAAAACATGCTTTTCCCCATCAGCTCTCTGCAGGTATTTCCCCTACAAGCAGGGACAGACTCACGGTTTGTTTTGTCTTCCTCCTTGCTTTCCGTTTTACAGGATATCAATCCCATTATAGCACAAATCTCAGTGAGTTTGTCTAGAGTGCAGTGATTGGTAACTTGTCCAGACATCTGGCTTCAGCCCAAAAACACACGCACACTGACCAAAACTAAAAATCTCACACCTTCTCATTTTACTTGTTTCTATGTCGGTTTCACTGCAGCCCAACGACCCGGTGACAAATATCTGTCAGGCAGCTGACAAACAGCTCTTCACCCTGGTGGAGTGGGCCAAGAGGATCCCCCACTTCTCCGAGCTGCCGCTGGACGACCAGGTCATCCTGTTACGAGCAGGTCTGTAACACCACTTCTACATACTCTGGGGTTCACAAAAGAAAGCAAATCTAAATGTTGTATCTGGAATCTTTTTATTTTATTATTATTTTATTTGAAACTTGAGTTTATATCATATTATTGTTTCAGTGTCTGGATTAAAGGTCTTGGAATGGTAAATACAATACACTGTTGTTTCAGTTCTAAAGTATTAAAACTTAGATTTTGCACAAGATAAGTTAACACAAACTGAACAGCGCTGTGGTAGTTTAATGTTAAATGAATACCTTTTGTAGACACAGTTGCAAACAAAATAATAAAAAAAGAGAACAACATGAAACATGTTTTAGCACTTAAAGGATTGCCAGCTTCCAAAAGTGGGAATAAAAAAACATGGAAAGAAGCAGCAACTCTTACTTTCTCTTATAAAAGAAACCCTCAAATTTGTTTGCAGTTCCATCAATGCAAATTGACTTTATCATTAAACAGACAAATATACTGTATATATCTAAATGATTTAGTCATTTTTAACAAAATTTTTACTTGATTATCCAAGATGTTTTATGGAGCTAGGTGAGAACCAAGTAAGACTTTTTTCCCTTTGGTTCATAAAACACAACAGTGCAGCATTTAGAGACTGAAATACTGTATGCATACAACCCTCGCAGCAGAAAGTAATGAACATATTTGACATTTTAGTAAAAATATGCCAATAAATAAAAGCAAAACTCAAAGACAGACAGAACTTGGTAAAGTTAACAATTCAACTTCTTGAGGAAACTGATCGCTTATTCAATGCAAACAACCCTCTGAGATGTTTCAACTCCAAGAAACATTTTCAATTCTTCCACAAGATTTATATTTTTATTTTTCATGCTGCAGGTTGTTCCATGTCATAACATTTCTTTGTAATAAAATTAATTAATTAATTAATTAATTAAAGTCCTGATGTTAGACTGTGCAGTGAACCTTATTGGCACTTTCCCTCACACATTCCAAGATTACAGTGGTTCCCAAACCTGGTCCTTGAGGAACGCCATCCTGCATGTTTTAGTTGTTTCTCTGCTTCAACACACCTGACTCAGTGGTTTAATTACGTCCTTAAGTTAGGCAGAAGCCTGTTAATCACCCTTTCATTCAAATCAGGTGTGTTGGAGCAGAGGAATGACTAAAACAAGCAGGGTGGTGTTCCTCAGGGACCAGTGTTAGGAACCACTTGTTTATAGCAACAATGGAGGCATTATTTCTTATTGGTAGTGGGTCAGACTGTTTGATTCATGAGCTGTGAGTAAAGGAAAATGATTTAATAGCATTATTAGTATATTAGGCAGGTATGAAGTATCTAAAAAATATGAAACAAAGGGCGCTCTTTATGAACTAAGCAGCAAATAATTTAAACTGCAGTTAAAATGACATTTATACATTTTAAAGAATGGTTGAAAACTCCATTCTAAACACAGAAAGCTACAAATGGTAGTTCGGCATTGCTTCCTTTAGGTAGTCAAATAGACTATAGTGTCCATAAGTGTGAATAAATGTGCCAGTCATGAAACCAAGTTAAGAAATGGGTCTACAATTCCTGTTTGCATCTTCTGCGTGAGGAAAACATCAGGAAGCAACAGCTTCGTGGAGCAGACACTGAATCATCCATCACCTAACATAACATGCAGAAAGGTCTTTTAGGTTCTCCTCAACACATTGTCCCCGATCCCTGCCTGTCAGTTCAGATCACACCATCATATTCTCTGCCCATCTCCAAGAAAAACAAATAAGGCACCGATCGGTAACAGTTGGGGGTCAAAAAAAAATCCTCCTGTGTTGTCCTTTGCACATACATTGATGGAGACGCTTCAGAATGTAGAGAGAGACGTTATTCTGCAGAGCTCGGCTCAGGTTTTCTATAAATAACCGCTTTAGTTCTGCATCACAGATAAAAGCATAGCAGCTCCTCTCATGGCCAACTCAACTGTAGGGAGAAGAGGCGAGTGTTGCCAGGCAGAACAGTTAAAGGAGCCCTGTCACTCACGCAGCGGCGTCTTGTGTCTTCAGCTCTCCTTGTGTCAGGCCCCCTGCTTTGGCACATCAAGCTTGTTGTCGTTATTGTGATGGCAGGCGCACTTCATCCCTTTTACACGCTTGTCTCCTTAGAAAGCGTGATTCAAACGTCTCGGAGATAACCTGATGCTTGTGCTTGAAAAAGCTGCAGGGGGTTACGGTGCAGCGTAATTGATTCAGTGGAATTCCGCCTTTGTTGGCGTTTTAATTTTGCATGAACGCTGGGTGAACTTTTGTATGAGCTTTTGCCTTACTTCATTTTGATCCCCCCCCCCCCCCATACTTTTACCTTAATCCCTCTCCTACTCCGCTTCTTTGTCTCAGGTTGGAATGAACTCCTCATTGCATCATTTTCACATCGTTCGATTGCTGTAAAGGACGGGATTCTGTTGGCGACGGGGCTGCACGTCCACCGCAACAGCGCCCACAGCGCAGGAGTGGGAGCCATCTTTGACAGGTCATTATCGCAGCGTTACTAAAACTTCTTGCACACTGTTTAAATGAACTTAAAATCTACTGTTAATACTGATTTCTACTGTTAATACTGATTAACAGTCTTTTAATAATGATTGTCTTTTTTTTAAAAGCCAATAAGTTTATTTGACTAACTTTTTGACACATGTATTTATCATTCTTTTAGTGGAAATGTTGCACTGACTGAATCACAGGAAGGCCTCACGTAGGGCAAAGCAGCGCGGGGATTATTGATTGACTCCACTATATTAAATATGTACACCTGGGTGCATCAGGGGTCTCACAGAAAACCTGAGCTGCTCAGGAAAATGTCAAAGAAATCTATGCAAAGTCGAGTCACAGTGAAGTCAGGAGTGTGCAGGCACCACCCTGGTGGCTGTTATTGACATTCCAGGCCAGCGGATTGACAGACCGACTGACGCACCACCTGGGACTGCGCGTGTGCGTTCAGCAGCATCACAACTTGAGCAGAACTAATGTGAACTATTCGAAAAGTTACAAGTGTACAAGCCAAAATATACAGTGCGGACTCTGCCGAGTTCTGTTTCAGGCACGTCTTAAATTATTCATAAAAATATATATTTTGTTCTGATGCAAGAAGTGCGCTCTTATGCATCTTCTTCTGTTGTTTACCTGCGTTTAAGTACGTTAAGCACATCAAGGTGTAGATGGAAATCAAAACAATGAGGTCAAAAGAAATGATTATGGATTCAAAATAAGATGAGACAAACATTTCTGCGGCATTTTAAGTGCCTCAAAGCACATTATTCTTAAATGATCTGAAACAATGAGTTAGAGCAACACAATCCAGTGTTCCTTTGTGGAAACGTGATTACATTATGGGGGGACGATCATTGTGGCAGCAAGCCACTTATTTGGCCATTATGATAGAAATGCCAAATGGAAGCCATTTTTCTTCAAGCCCCATGTGACATTCTGCTGGGAGTTTATCCAGAAGTCTCCTGAATGATTTACCGACCATAAGAGGCAAAATCCTCTGATGTGATTGAACTGTTGACTCAAAATTCCCCGTGATGAATGACGACCAGGTGCTGAACATCACCGCATTACAAACTGAAGGTGCCAGATTAATGGTGCAAGTGGAGCAACTGGAGCTAGATTTTATTTTTGGCTCAAACTTATTGCTGTACATTTCTTAATAAACGAGTCAAACGAAATAAAGTAGACACTAATCAGGCGAAAACAAAAGATATTGACATGTTCATAATGCTGCTTAAAGAGTAGGAATCCGCTTGAAGCAGCGGACAGCTTTGTGTCATGCAGGATTGTGAGTCGCTAGTAATTCAAGGATGATGCGGGTTTTTGTCACAACGAAGCTTCCTCACAAAATCTGTGAGAAATTTTAAGTTTCATAAAAACATAAAAATGAACTCTAAACTACCCATAAATGTCTAAGCTAGTCTGACAAAATTTGGCCTTAAAGTCAAAGTTTTATATATGCTTACATTTAGTCAGAAACATTGTGTTAGCATTCACCCAAGATGGGCAAGAACAGAGCTGATGTGGGGACTAAACAGGGTTTTTACATCCTACAGAGCAAAACAACCACTTTATTGAAAACAACAGCTATGACAAAGCTGGGAAGGGTTAGCTGCAGCAGGAGCCAACAGGTTTGACATGTGCCCATTAGAGTTGAGAGAAAAATGGATGCTGAAAAACTAAAATGATATCTGGAATATAGATATTTAGCAGTATGATTTCTATGTGAATCTAATATGATAGTAGTCCACATTTGAAAACAAAATGAAAACATACCATTAAAGAAAAAGTCCAAAGTGACCAGGCCAGAGTCTGGACTATCACCCAGTAGATCACCTCTGGCTGTTGTGGAGTAATACTCAGATCCTAACTGTGGTATCTCACTGGGCTGCAACTTTTGGAGACTAGTTGCAGACTCAAAGTTGACTCAATATTGAAAGAACATGTGCACATTTTCACTTGTTTCACTGAATTGGGAGAATTGCAAACACATAGTAAGCTGCTATGTGATTGTTTTGCCCAGTCATTTTTTTTTAACATAACTTATGTCTAGGTGCACGATGTTCAAAACTGCAAAGGTTGTGCACACTATTTCATTAGTCACTTCTGCCCACATCATACATTCTTAGGTTCTATTTTTATACACATTGGCAGCTGCCTTAAATATTTAATCTACTGGAGTACATGTTAGAAATGAACATTGACATATTTGGACCAGTTTTTGAATAATTATTTTTAATCATCAACAAGATTTTTAGACCTGGATATTTTGGAGAGCTCCAATAATGGTGTCAAAATCCTGCTCTAGTGCTCTTGAG